CGAAAATCATGGAGTAATTGACAGAAACCGCACGATTCAACTGATCACGTGATGTACACTGTTATTAGTCCTCACTGCGACACATTCATTTTACTTAAAATTTTCATATAGTATTTATGGGTAACAGCTAAATTTGCAAATAAAAAACGAAATTTATATTGTACCTCTCAAAAAACACTTCACAAACAAAAGACACAGATCAATTGAACATGTGATGTCGAACGTGAACTGTAAACATTGCATAACCCCGCGCCACGCTTAAAACATTGAGGATGGAATCGCGCTATAGCCAACATTCGTATGCAAAAGTTCGCATTTTACAACCAGCGTCCCCTATTCATCAATCGAGTTACAACCAATTCGTGTTGACAAAACACACGTTGTAGCAGAAATGACTAACTGGTATGAGGGCTGTGACGTCATTCAAGACGGTGGCCAGCATTCAGCTTGCTGGATCTTGCGTTCAGCTGGCTGGATCTCACGAAATTTTACGCCAAATGTAAGATTTGATTACATTAGGTAGTGCTCGAAATTCAAAAAAGCGAAATGAAATCGCGCGAAATAAGAGATTTTACTGTATACTATATTAATAGCGTAAATAAAACATGCAATGTGAAATGTTGCATTGGCACCTCAAGTGTTGCCAACATGTTTTCATTTTAATAAAAGCAGTGGACAGAAGTCTGAAGTCTTCTCCACAGCACAGCACAGTACAGCACATCCTTGACCACCGAAGGGTCAAGACGTACCTGGCGCTCCTCTCGGAGCAGCCAGGTCAACTGTTAAGTTGGCCCATACCAACCCCCTCCCCTGAACCCTCCTCCCCACCGGAATATCAACAAGTTCTCGCCAGAAGTTACAATTTCATTTAGGAAAGGAACGGAACCAGTGTTAAACAGAGGTGAACAGTGGTGAACAGTGCTTAAGTCAGTGAGAACAACTCAACAGTAACAGTCGTACCCAAGTTAACCTTCACACAGTGAGGTCCCAGGTACCCAGTGATAACGGCCCGTGAGACCCAACAACAACCAGCGATGTGTTAATCCGTCTACGATAGGAAGGCCTAAGACCAAACCTCACTCATATAACACCATCTGTGAGGGAATTACTACACCACATGTCCCTCATAACACCATATGTGAGGGAATTACTACACCACACCCTCATAACGTCAGTCCCCTCATCACACCATCTGTGAGGGAATTACTACACCACGTGAGGTCCCTCATAACACCATCTGTGAGGGAATTACTACACCACGTCAGGCCCCTCATAACACCATCTGTGAGGGAATTACTACACCACGTCCCCCTCCACCATCTGTGAGGGAATTACTACACCACGTGAGGTCCCTCATAACACCATCTGTGAGGGAAACTACACCACGTGAGGCCCCTCATAACACCATCTGTGAGGAATTACTACACCACGTGAGGTCCCTCATAACACCATCTGTGAGGGAATTACTACACCACGTGAGGCCCCTCATAACACCATCTGGGAACTACTACACCACAGGTCCCTCATAACACCATCTGAGGGAACTACTACACCACGTGAGTTCCTCCTAACACCATCTGGGAGGGAGTTACTACACTACGAGTTTGCTGTTCAACACCTACATTAATCTGTATGTTCACTGTATGTTCCTTTACCTTTCTCTAATGAAGGCTTTTGTTAAACCACCAATGTATATTTTCAGCCTTCGGGCTGCAGAATTTTTTCAATAAACCGTTAATTATTATTATTATTATTATTATTATTATTATTATTATTATTATTATTATTATTATTATGATTTATTTTGAAATATATTCAACACATATTGCGACCTTCAAACTGGTTTAAAAAATAAAATACCTGCAATGATAACAGACTGAAAATGTCTTAAATGACACAAGTGTCAAACACTGATTACAGTATGTTACCAATGATCAGTCAATTCACACCCCTCGCTTGGCCCCGATTCCTTTAAAGATAAAGAAATAGAAATAACTTGTAGAAAGGAATTAGTTATGCTTAGAAAAAAAAATCTTATTTTCATTTACAGTTCACCATTCTTACACAACCAGACATGACATGAACCTCGGACTCTGAGACAGATTGCAAGCACTCTTATTATTATTATTACATGTTTTATTTACTCTTAGTATAGTACAGTAGATTATTCTAGCAAGCAACAAGCACATGTGAATAAAGTATCACTGCAACTAACTTCAAACCTCATCACTGCAATTAACTTCAAACCACCTCTTATTCACAATATGATGGAATTATGTAAAGCATTTTAGAATTACAGCATCCTTGAAATTATTTTAGGTACAGGGATATGCAAAGAGCAACTGACGTATAACGGAAAGATGGGGGAGGAGGGATAAGAGGGTAGGCTAGGTGAGGTGGGTGGTCAAAATGCTAATGGACACAAGAAATCAAAGGGAAAGTCTGCTGTCATGGCCACTGCCACCTGACCTGACCTGACCTCTAGGTATGTGACTGCGTGGTGTCAACCCCACACCACCTTCATGACTCCACCAAGACAACTCTTTACTCTGGTTAATAAATAAATAATTAATTAAAAATATATTATTAGTTTGTTACAGACATTAAAGCTCTTTGTTTGTTTGTTTGTTTGTTTGTTTGGAGCATATAACGAGTAACGATTTTTGTTTTTTTCAATTGTAATGGAGTAAAAGTATTAGAAAACCATACAGAAGTAAAATTAAAATTTTTTTTAGCACTTTTTAAAAAGTAAATACCCAAAAATGTCACTTGAGTACAGTACTCAAGTAAATTTATTTCGTTACTTTACAACTCTGAGTGAAAATACAGTGTTACAAAGAGTGATATACTACACTGTATGCATGTTTTTACTGTATAGCACAGTAAGATCTCATATTTCGCGAGATTTCATTTCGCGTTTTTGAATTTCACGAGCACTACCTAATGTAACCAAGTCTAATATTTGGCGTAACATATCTTGAGTTTCGCGAGATCCAGCCAGCTGAATGCTGTAATATTTTATGTTGCAGCATAAGTATGGTTTTTGGTAACTGGCCAGCCGCACTCTCCCTCCCCTCGTGTGACGTCAGGGCATACAGGCAGGAGCCACACACTTCTATTGAGTCAGTTTCATGACTGCCCGGATGAAATGTGTCGCCTTTATACTGTACCAGTATATGTGATGAATACAGTAAATAAATATAATTATAATAACTAAAATAAATAAACACTGGGTTGCCATTTGGCAATTATTTCACGGGACTTAAGACAGAACAGCTGGTCACCGTCTTGTATGACGTCACAACCCTCATCCCAGTTATTCCTGCGCCATCCTACCGACTGGCAGGGCTGCTATTGTGTGCATTTTTTTGGTGATGCTACCACCTGTCGAGTCAAGATAATGACCTCTACCTCGACTGGGGCCCTACTGGTGCTGGTGGGGGTGGGACAGACCCACATAAGTGGCCAAATAAGGAAAAGGAGAAGCGGGACTATCGTAAGGGAGTTAAGTTTGCCAATTACTCAATGCAGGATAGGTAGCGTGTTATTAAGTTACTTGAGGAAGGCCTAAAAACTAGTGAGATAGGAACGATTACTGGTTTTCCGGAAACCACAATCAGGTCAATAAAGGCAGAATTTGCATCATTTTGAGGTTATAAACAGGAAAATCAAAGGTTGATATAGAGTGGACAGTCTATATTGTTATTTTTTCCATTATTTTATGTATTTGCATGTGGCGTAATTTTTCCAGTCTATATTACTCGCAAAATACAAGATCTTACTATATTGTATAATCCATTATTAATAGGCATTGTCCTGTATTCAAGTTGTGTAAATACTTGGTTGAGGCACTAGTGCAGGAATGCAGTCATACTTAAGAATCATCATGTCAACCATATACTGTATGGAACTACAGTAGTATTGGGGCTTGTATGTGAAGACACAGTTTGCGACATGATAACATACAGTATGCATACCCTGTAATTTTATGAGATAAAAAGAACCGATATTTCATACTGACTTAGTATGAGCATCTTTAAGCTGTTTTACTACTGTATTACCAATTTACAAATATAAGTTGACAGAGCCCGCACCGTTAGATATAAGAATAGCACCATCCCATCTATTGTTAAAATAATAAACAACTCCTGATTTATGTACTGTACAGCCCTGTAAACGTATTCAAAGCATATTATATCATTATGTCTAAATCAAATGTAAGTCTGTATATTTTCAGCCACCGGCTGCAACTCTATTAATAAACCGTTTATTATTATTATTATTATTATTACATTCACAAACTAAGGTTAAGGCTTTATTCAGTACAATAACTGCTAGTCAGTTATATCTAGACTTTACACAGAACTAAGTCACTGATCAGTGGATACATATGACATTTACAAATTGAACATAAAATAATTTTGAAACAGCTATAAATAAACAAGGTAATCAAATTAGTGGGATACAGGCAGACCCCAATTCACAAAAGGCTTTTATAAATAAATAAAAAAATTAATCGAACCACATTTTCTCATGAACATCCATAATAAAAGCCGAGATATTTTCCTACAAAAAGTAAAACTTCCCCGAAACATATTAAAATACTACAAAACTTATTTATAGTGACATTTTTTTGGTGTACACAATTATTATAAGCCAATACTAATTAGTGAAAGACATTTTAATCTATGTAACAATAGTGACCACTCAAACCGTAGATGCGCTGCCATCAAAACAAAAACTAGTGTCCTGTTTGTCTACCTACAAAGTCTACCGCATGTGTTTCAGACTTTAGCAAAGTTTTTGTGCATAGATTTACCATTAAATAAAGTGAGTTCCTCTTGCCTCATCTAAAGATATTACATGTACAGAATTGCTTTCTCTTGTAATGCACACACCATTCAGCCTGTGAGATTTTGGGTTTTGTTTACTGTCAATTTGCTTATAGTATGAATTAACAATAATAAACAAGAACCTCCTGTACTGTAATGTAAACTGACCAGATCCATTACAGGATGCCCCAAGATGCTTGTGCATCTTCCAAAACTGAAAAAAAAAATATATACGTATATATAAAAAAGGTCATAACTTTAGGGTTTTTGTTCATTATCTGGGATTTTTTTCTCTGTAACTGAAAATTTGTAAATCAAGAACTACCTATAGAGTAAAAACTTGCAAATCATAATAATAAAGTGATTTAAAAGCAAAAACCAAAAGTTCCATGCTGTATAAAAAATTTAACCAATGTTTGCGGTTCTTTAAGACTGCTGCAAACACTGATAAAGCCACTTTCATAACAATTGTATTTTTAGAGTTTCCAGAAAATAAATTTAAGTTATGTCTCCAAAATTATTTAAAAATTACAGAAAATTCAGAAATTATTCAAAAGTTATCACTTTATTGTACTGTATAATATGTGGGAATTTTAGCTACCAACAACTTTCATCTGTGATATTTTCAGAAAAATTCATCAACTAAGTTTTGAGTTCCATCTTTGAAAATCTATCTTTGCCTGTCACCTGTACCTAATGACACATACACAATGCAGTAATAAAAATTGCTCCCTTACTTAATTCTTGCTCTACATATACGTACTGTATTCTTAAGTGCAAATAAGTAGTCATGATATGTAAAATAAAAATACTTCACCATTAAAAATAAGACTTCTTAAATGTAAGAGAACATTAACAATAATGTACAGTACTCACTTAGGAGGCAGATCCAAAATAAAATTCTTGACTAGGTTGTCTCCAAACCATGCAGTGGCAAATAGTGCTCCCCATACTATCACAGATTTTAGAGTGACAGCTCCAAACATGGCCATGCTTGACCATCACATCATCAATACTGCTTGTTATATCATTATTTTGATAAAATCTAAAATAAAGACAATATATATATATATATATATATATATATATATATATATATATATATATATATATATATATATATATATATATATATATATATATATATATATATATATATATATATATATATATATATATTTATTTATTATACTGTACTGTAGCACATTGTATCCAATAAAATCATGATTCAGCGATGGCATAGATGCCATGGCCAACCCGATTGTGTCACATTGAATTAAAAATACAGTTAACCCTCACTTTACGCGGTCCCACATTCCGCGTTTCCACGTTTACGCGGTGCCCTGCCGGAACCCAGGATGCTCACATTCCGCGGTGCGTGTACCCCTTTACGCGGAGAGCGGCTGGCGAGCCGCGCCATTTTTGGATCCAAACCTCCCGCCATCCGCCATGTTGTGTAAGCTGCGCGAACATGGTGCGCACAAGGTCGCCCAGTCATCAAAACATTACCAGTTCTTCACCCGCCACCCACCACAGCCGGCCCAAGTCAGTGATAGTGATAATTATGGTGAGGATATGGACTTATATGGACTTTGGGGAGTTTGACAAAGAGGCCCTGCAAGCCTCTGTGGTGGATAGTGATACAATTGATACAAGTGACACAGGTGAGGGCCAATAATCTGCCCTCTGCCTCGGAACCAACCGCCCATCCCCGTGTGCCCAGCCATTTTTTCTACTAATGTAAGTGTTAAAAAACCTAATATTATTGATATTTCTCTTAATTATTAATTGTGTGTGCATACCATCATAAAGTTAAGATAATATTTTTACTACAACATAGTTGTGTGTCGCCAAAAAGTGGAGTTTGGGGATCGGCCCGGACTCCATTTCAATTAATCCCATATGTTATGTTATTCACTTTACGCTTTCTTTCTTTACGGACCCCGGGTTACATTAACGCGAAAGTGAGGGTTAACTGTATTCCTAATTTTTATGTTACTGAATTTGCATTCCATGTATCTATCAATGTTTTAGTGGCTGTTGTATCCCAAACAAAATATACCAAGTTTACCATCATTCTCATATAGTTTTTACTTTATTAATTCTGTGGTTCTGTTTGGCTATGAAGGTTAATCAGGTTAGGTTACTTTTTTTCAGTACTGATACTGTATATAGAATGCAAAACCAGTGGGGTAAAATGGGAAAAACAATTGGGGTAATTATTATGATGCAGAACATATAAATTAACTAGACTTAAGAAACCAGCCACAGTATTATAGGTTAATATGTGTAGTCATTTAATAAAGATTTGTCTCATTCTATTATTGATCTCCCACTAGATTTGGATTTTCTGCATAAAAATAGAGGCCCACAAAGCAATTTAAAAGATAGGACCACAGCCTATCTACCTTTTTTCCACTACCACATAATGGCCAAGCGAAACAGACTTGTAACTTTATACAAATTACTGTACCATTATTAAACTAATTGGTAATACTGTAGTTGTACTGTACTTTACATCAGACTAGTGAGAACGAACCACTTTAAGAAAAATTTTATATTATAAAACGTGTTACTTCACAAATAGAAAGAAATGGATGGAAATTTAAAATTAACTACTTTTGGTTTTCCTTTGTGTCTGTTAAACTGTGTTTTAGTATTTCCTGACAGGTTTGTTTTCATACATAAAATGTAAATTAAATGTCCAATGGTAGTTTATTTTGTCAGTGTACAGCTGAGTCAGGTCCGTGTAACTAATTACTGTACTTTTATACTGTACTGTAGTAAACAAAGGAACCACCCTATCCTTGCCTTAAAAATGAGCCAAGGTGTCATAGAACTATGATATATCCTTAATATTGGTTAGCTGTCCTCTGTAATTTCACTTTTGTATGTAAAGTAGCTAAAACAACTATCTGTGCAAGTGGGGGTCGATATGCTCCAAAATTTTACGCGTGACTAGTGACAGCCCTCATATACCAAAATTTATCATACATGGTCTCATATTGTTTCTCACAAAGTATGCACAGATAGTTATTTTAGCTACTGTACAATATATGCATAAAATGAGAAGCAAGGTCATAACTATGAATTAACTTAAGAAGTGGCAAGTAGGTTGCCAACAATGTGTAACAAAAACATGGCCAACTGCTCAAGCAGCTAACGAGCCGATCAGTGGCGAAAGGGATAAAAGTAAAAATATGTCCTTAGTATTAGGATGTTTAGGCCTTGGGCCATGAACCCTTGGAAGTCTGGGCCATGGGCCAGAAAATTCCTGACTGGAAATTATAATACCCTTAATACCCCCTGGAAGCCTTCTAGTCAGGAACCTTCCCGTAAGGTTAGATTATGTTATTTATATTACTCCGACCCATGGCCCAAACCACCCTGGTCCTATATTCCACGACCTCTATGCCTCTAGCCAATAGTGAACTGACATAAACCCTTCCCAAATTGTCTGATTTTGGAGGAATAAGCCACTGGTTTGTTCCTGTCAAAATCTGACAATATTTAGTGATGGCTTTTCTAAATTAATAAAAACATCATTGGCTCAAAGAGCCACAGCCTAACTAGCCACTTACTGTCCCTGCACCTGATTTGCATCATCTACTATTACCCTCAAAAATTCCCAAATTATAAGTTGTTGTTGGGCCCCTTTATCAAAATTTTTATGTACCGGACCCCATTGGTGCACCTTTACACCAAGATTTATTTGTAAAATTACTGTAGTCAACATACCACAAAGGTTGTCTCGGATAAACTTTACATTTACCCCTGTACAGCTTAGAACATTGTTAACTTTAAGACACAAGTACTATAATTAGACAGTGAATGAAGTACAATACGGGTAACCTTCTTGTTATTACTCGTTAGTTACATCAAATATGATTTCTGAAACAATTTAGCAAAGCAATCCCAAAGTTGTTTGCGTTCAAGTTGTCGACAACACAGAACCCGGATTTGTGTACCACTAAAAGAATTTACCATTCAAACTGCGATAGAGTCAAACAATGGTCGCCTTTAATGTTAAAGACAAATAAAATACAGTACGTGTGAAGGTACATCGTGCATCGTGTTAAACGAGGCATACCAATGATTTGGATCCAGATTCACTATTGAAGTTTGACCTGTTAGTGGAGTATTGCCGTTCAATTTTGACTTATTTGTGTTTATTCTGAAGGCAAACATTAGCCCTGTGTCCGTTCTCATTGGTTTATATAAAACTAATAATTATTGGGTTTCTACAAATTCAGTGTACAGTATACTATGTTTGTCCAGTTGTCTCTCCAAGTTCAACACTTTCGGAGGCTGAGGACCTGTAGGAAAGAGATAACATTTATTTTATTATTTTTTATTTGTTCATAACTTGTGTAATTATTCACTTAGTATACGAGCCTAAAGTACTTGGTTGTTGAAGAGCAGTAATTCATTTTAGAAAATACATCAAGTTGTATTGTCCCAGCTTTGTCCTTGCTCGTCATGATTGATTGATTTATTTTATTGGGAATTCATCATGTACAGTCGCTGTCATCAGTTAGCCTCATGTGGTGAAACTAGCCACGGAATGGGTTTCTGAACTTACTCCGGATGGACGAATTTTGACGACGCAAATACCTGTTTTAACACGACTTGCTGTGTTTCTAGGGATAAGGAAACTCTAAATCTGGGAATTTTTTTGAAATATTCGAATTAGATGTGATTCGAATATAGTGTGAGATGTGTTGTTAACTTGACTCACTCGTTAAAACAATTTGCGTCCGATATATGTCCGGCCAAGGATTCTGCAGTAGAGTAGAGGAAGGATACTTTCTTTCGCTTCCGATTGACGCGCCATCTATGGAGTGTGAGTCATCATAAAGAACGTTTGGTATTACATGGAGTACCTAATTAAAAGGAAGTATTTAATCTGCGACATAATAGAAAATGGTTGTAAATAGTGAGCGACAGATTTATTTTATTGTTTTCAATTGTGCGTTGATCGTGCCTCTCAAAAAAGAACAGTTAACAACAAACAACACAACAATAGATAATTACATATATCATTTTCATATACTGTATAGACTTTCTTGAAAAACACTTTAGTTTTTATTCATATTCATATATTTAATTATACTTATGTTTCAATTTACATTTTTAATTTGCATTATCTTTGCTACATATTGGGATTAAATTATTAAATTAAATTATATAAGATTCATATTTTTATTACTATATATATATATATATATATATATATATATATATATATATATATATATATATATATATATATATATATATATATATATATATATATATATATATATATATATAATAGCAATACATGATTTAATAATAAAATAAGTAATTTAAAAATGTCACTGGAAATATTTTTTTTCCTAATTTTCATTCATACAAGTTCTGAGAACTTATACATTTTAAAGGAGTAGTTAGTAAGCAAAATATAAGATTCACCTGTTGCTGGGACAACTGTGCGAACAAAATGTCCACTGACTGTATATTGTTCTGGAGTAATGTGGCTGCTACCCTAGACTTTGGCATGATAGCTGGTTTTTATGGTGTATTTCCCTGGTTTGAAATTCGAACCTTCATTTCAAGGCCATGTTCTAAAACTAATATTTATCCACAAATGAATGTGGTTACATAATTTAATTTCCACAAAACACTTGCATATTAATAATAACTTTTTTCTTTGGTAAACGATGGAATTTTAGGTGGTTGTAACCCCTCTTGTCCTACCAACACATGACACAGGGATAGATACTTGCCTTCATAACTATTTGTACACGTTTGACAGGTTAAACATGCCGCAGTCCTACCAAATGTAAACAAACCGCCGACACGTAGCAGAAGAATCGGTCTGATTAATGCCATCTGCAGTTAGTGCGACACACTCAAAAAGGCATCTACACCACCAATGATCGTGAGTAATAGTTTCTTCCTCTATATTTCTTGATTCCAGCCTTGGTGTGAACCCACCCTTAGTAAACAGCGAGTGACAAATTTATTTTTAGTGTCTTCAATTGTGCGTTGATCGTGAGATATCAAAGAAAATAGTGAACAGCAAATTACAAAACAATAGACAATTACCCTGATTGGTGCGGGTTTGCTGTTATATCTCATTTAGGGTCAATACTACTTTAGTATGGGAGGGAGCGAAGTTTTGAAGTTTTGACCCTCAGTGTGCAGTAAAGTACAGTAATTATTTATTTATTTATTTTTTTACAGGGATTAGCCCACCCGGGCACAGGTCACTGACCCACATCGGGGCCTGGGGGCGAAAATGTAATAATAACAATAATAATAATAATCAGTTCATAGTAAATATAAATTATAATAAAAATACAAAATTAAAAATTAAATTAAAACAATAATAATAACACCACTGATAATACTAATAGTAATAATAATAATAATGCATAACCATAAAGAAATACAAAAAATTAAAAACGATCAACGGTGAGAAACGATATACAGGGTATGTATGTTGTGTTGTCAACGTAAGAGAAACAATTGAGACCCTACAATTGTGTGTAAATAGGCAGAAAGTCAGAACAGCAACCTGGGACTTACAACTTTCGTGGTGTTGTAATTCTCATCACCTTCGCTGGAGATCTTTTAACTGTTTCTTCTGGTATTGCCGAGATGTGCTCTCAATCTCGTGGATGTCATATGTCTTTCGCGCAATTGCGTATCATCTTCCTGTGGTAAACTCTTGAAATTTTCCACTTTCTAAGACGGTCTTCATGACCCAGTCCTGGACACTTGACTGTTTATTTCTGTCCCCATCTTGTTGGCACACTCTAAATAACTATGATGGCCTTGTACAATCATCTGATTTTTGTGCCTCCATTTATAATTGACACAGGTGGGTGGCGTCCCTCGTGAGATGTGGCACGGCTGTTTGTTTACATCATAGTAAAACTAGCAGAATGGCCAGAACTACCCTCGCTATAGTAACCAGACCAAGGAAGCTAAATAAGCAATCTCCCCTTATGTCTGTGAAGTAATGCGCGCATTTCCTGCACTGACAGAATTTTGATATGGATTACCAAGTGAACGTCATTGGCTCCTATTTGTTGTCTGGTGGGCGGTGGTGCCACATCTCACAAAACACGCCAGCCACTTTACCCGTTATAAATGGAGACAAATGTATTG